CAACTTGCCAGAAGCTGATTTTCCAGATGTATTATGGTTGGTTGTACTGTCACCATTGCTACCATCATCTTTTACATTATTATTATTATTATTATTTATGCCATTATTAAATGATGAAGAACCTTCAGAATTGTTGTCCTCTTCGTCGTCATTAGAGTTCTCAGCACTATTATTATCGGCTAATCCATCAATCTCCGAGAAACTGAATTGGTTGTTGTCACCAGCAAATGTTGATGATGACGGCGATTGTGTTGAATGACGATTTGATGATTTGCTTTTTGAAGAATTTTTGTTTTGAGGTTTTGAAAATGAATCTCTATTTGTTTCGACCTTTTTCTTTGTAGGATCATCAGTTGAAGAATCATCTGGAAACAAGCGTTTCAATTCATTAGAGGTTCTTGTAGAATCATCAGTTGAAGAATCATCTGGAAACAAGTGTTTCAATTCATTAGAGGTTCTTGTCGTGTGACCAAGAGGATGTTTATCCGTTTCATTATTTCTCATTGTGGAATCGTCAGCTGAAGGAAAATCTGGAAACAAGTCACTAGATGGTTTTGTTGTGTGACCAAGAGAGCTGTATGGAGACTCTGAAGATGGATATTTATTCGTTTCATCATTTCTCTTTGTGGGATCATCAGTTGAAGAATCACCTGGAAACAAGCGTTTCAATTCATTAGAGGTTCTTGTCGTGTGACCAAGAGGATATCTATTCGTTTCATTATTTCTCTTTGTGAAATCGTCAGCTGAAGGAGAGCCTGGGAACAAGTTTTTATAATCATTTATTGAAGGATCAGAAAATTGAAACTTGTATTCGGTTTTCTTATTTGATGATGATGGTGATAAATTATCAGTTGCAGCAGCAGCAGTATTATTTTTCAATAGATCTTTATAAAGTTCGTTTTTCTCTAAAGGTACAATTGAAGGAGATTTTGAAAATAGATCTTTATAAATGTCATTATTCTCTAAGGATCCAAAATTCTGTTGAACAGGAGGAGAATAAGGAGTATTTGTATCTTCAAATGGATTATTTGAGGAAGATCCTATAGTCGTTTTTGGGAGTAAGGAATCAATAATTTGTTGAGCAGTAAGTGAAGGAGGAGGATCTGCAGATGGATCATTATCATCTTTGTTTGAGGAAGAACCTCTAGTTGTTTTTGGGAGTAAGGAATCAATAATTTGTTGAGCAGTAATTGAAGGAGGAGCATCTGCAAATGGATCATCATCATCTTGGTTTGAGGAAGAACCTATATTTGTTTTTGGAGGAACAGGAGGAGGGGTATTATTTTCGTTGGCAAAAGTTGCTCCCTCTACTTCTTTTCCTTTTTTTATTTGTTTGTTTGGTGACGATGATGACACTTTATTATGTTCGGTAAGAAGACGTTTATTTGAAATTGGATTTCCAGTTTGATCATCAAATAATTTAGAAGTATCGTTGTACTTGGCATCGCGATTATTATCATTTTGTGTATTGAGAATATTATGTCTGTTGTTGTACTTTAATTCATTGTCAATTTCCTCTAAAAGACTAGAACTGGTCTGATGAGCACTGGCGAATGATGATGATGCCAAGGATGATGGCTCTTTGAATTCATGCTTCTCGCTAGGATTTAAATTGATAGCAGTGGTGGTGGTGTCAGCAGTAGTAATACCACCGTCGTGATCATCTTCAAAAGTTGATTGATTAGGATTACTATTTGTTGGATTAGGTCCGGTTTGTTTTTCATTATTCAAGAAAGGTTTAACCAATTCATCACCGTCATCCTTTAAAATAGTATCATTATCTTCTCCTTCATTATCTATCACAATAAAAGAATCCGATAATTTTTTTGATGGTTGTTTCTTATCTTTATCAGAATTCATTATCAGCTCTCAATAAAAATAAAAATATATATATATTAAAAATAATATATATATATTTTTGCTTGTTTGTTTATGAAATATTTTACAAAGGGTAAATGTTGTATATAGAATATTTTTTTTATTGTTTTTTATATTTTTATAGAAACAAAGTGTAATTTGAACAAAAGAATAAAATAAAAAATAAGATTTTTTTTCTCAATTCAATTCAAAAAAAAAA